AAAAATAATAATTCTTATGAAGGCACTTCAAAAGCCAATGATGTGAAAAATTAAGTATATTTTTTTTCTTTTGTAATAAGTGGAAATTAAGTATATTTTTTTTCTTTTGATTGGAAGAGTAGTTTACAATGAGGAAGAGAGAAAATAAATGCCTGTAAATGTGTAAAAAATTGTTGCATATGAATGAAAGAGCAAAGCCATATGTATAGAAATTGATTTCACAGAAGTTTTACATACACTTACATGGGTGGGCCCCATGCGAGACCCATGGTAATAAAAAATTGCCAAAAAAATCCCACCCTACCCCCTATTGTGAGGTTGTGAACCTCCATCCTGTACCCACAGCACAACTCATGAATGAAATAATATGGTGACACTTATGAAACTATTCCAGAAGAGATCACAGATTCTTAAAGGAATAGTTGCTCTGGGAAAATTTCATGTGAGACATAAGTATATCCCATTTCATATCTAATAAACAAGGTTTATTATTTCAAAAATAAGATATTGATTAAATTTTATTCATTGGTCACAGATCACAAATTTTATAACTCACAACTTATTTCATAGTTACAAAATATCGTATTAATTGGTCACAAATTATTTCTATGTTACAAATTATCAAATTATTGGTCACAACTTAACAAATTTTTAGGCATCACATTATTTATTAGTAAAAAATTATCTATTTTGTTGATCACATATTATTTACGATCACACATTAACCAATTTTTTGGTCACAATCAATTAAATAATTTGTGACCACCACCTCACCACTGCCTCCAACAGCACCACCGTCAAAACCACCGCAACAACGACGACGCCAACACCACTACTAAATATCACCACGACGGCTACACCATCGCCTGCACCACAGTGACGACCACAACTACCAACTGCATCAACACTGCCATCTACACAACCAACATAAAAAAAAACTTAAACTAAACAAATCTAATAAAAAAACCAAAAAACTGCAACACCACAGAGGGCGATGCAAAGGATCCCTATCTAATTCGCGGCCGCAACAGATCGTGCCACTATGGATCTCACTGTCATTCGTGTGCTACAAATCTCGATGATCGGACGTTGTAAATTCTTGTAGTCATGACTCCCTGCAGCTGTAGCATCGTCGTTACGGAGATCCTAACGACATTTTCTGTTGGTAGGGATAGAGAAAGAAGAGAGAAGGGATAGAAAGAAAAGAAAATAGGAAGATGATTAGGGTTTTGGGTAGGTAGATATGTGTATTAATTTAATTTTATAATATACAAATATTAAAATTTTGAATTATTATTTGATTTTTGAATAAAAAAATTGTAAATCTTACTTTTTAATTTTGAAGTTGAAATGTCTGGATGGATGTAATTTCCAATTGAATCTTAAAGCTGAAAACTGTGATTGTTAATGACACTTACAAAAACTCGTGGTAAATGGGTCGGGCCTATTTGAGAAAGGCTTGTGAAGGCTCATGAGTTGGTTTGGGTTGTGTGGTGGGCTGGGCCAAGCCCGGTTCGCCATGTTTCTATGTGGTCTACTTTCATGGGTAGGCCAATTATTGAATTTTTAAAAAATATATGATAGGTAAATAAATGTGGATTCTCATTCGTGTTTATGAAATAAATCGTACGATTTACAATATGAAATTTATTCAAATTAACAATTTACAAGAAAATACATCACGATAATTTAACTACATTTAAGTAGGTCACCACTCAAAAAACTTTCATCAATTTTTACCACCATTGGTTTGATGTCTGGCCACTAACGTCTTCTTCCAAGCCGGACATTCCCCGACCTAGTTTGACACCACTAACTCTACCACTTTCCGCAATGTAAGTAGAAAATGTTATGTTGGGAGATATGCAAATAAATAGAAATACATCGGAATAATTCTTTTCCCCATATATGCTGAATATATTCTAAAAAAGTCAATCACACTGATTACACTTAAAGGATTACGCGGTAGTTGTAGTGCAGCTTTGGGGTGTCGTATCCACAGGGAGATGAAAAATGCTTAAGGGTTCCAAAAAGGGATGAGTTATCATCTTAAATTTGTAGTAAATTCAGTGTTGAAGTAGTAAAGTTAAAATCAATGATTTGAAGTAGTGAAGCATTGGAATTCCCCCAATTCGATCGGATTATTCATATCAATTATTCAATTTTATAACTCAATTAGAGGCTTTCATCCCGACACTCTAATCGAAAGATATGACGTTACAAATCAATTTAATTCAAAAGTAGTTCTAAAATCTAGACTTCATATGACGCATTCGCACAATTTTATTGAAANCACCAATAAAATAACTGAGATTACCATTCAACAATTAGTTCAACTCGTCGATAGAAAAGACCTGACTGAATCTATGATTAATTTAGTAAAAGTTAAACCAATCTCAACATAGGTTCATGAAATTTAAACTTAACAAATATTTTCGATTAAATAATGGAAAAAGCATGACTGAATTCATGAAAAATCTAATAAGAATTAAACCAATTTCAATTTAAATTTATCAGAATAAAAGTCTAAATTCTAAAAGTATTCAACAAATAAAGACCGGATTACATGAATAAAGGATGTAAAATCACCGAATCCAATGAGTTTCTTCATAACTTCACCAAGGGTTTTAGTTCATCATGGAGATTCTTGAGCCAAAGAGGAGAAGAATGATGAGTAATGAAGAATTAAGGCATTCTGGGGTGTTTTGGGCAACATTTAGGGTTGAAAAATCGACAAAGAAGTTGTTTCCATAAGAGTTTGATGTAAATTAGGAAACTAGAAATCGTGCCTCAGAAATACTCTATGTGACCACGTAGTTAAAGGTGTTGCGGTCACATAGAAGCTTGAATTGGCCACTGAAAGTCGCTGAAGGATTCTATGTGACCGCATAGAAATAACCCTATGCGACCGCATAGGTTTAGAGTTTTTCCACCGGATAGTTTTCAGTATTTTCATCATAACTTTCTCTTTTGATATCCAATCGATGTGATTCAAGATGATTTAGAAATCTAACTCAAAGAGTTACAACTTTGATTCAGATACCATCTTCGAATTCAATTTTTTTTATGTCAAAAATGGGTCTCAATATGATGCTAAAAATCGATGCAAAACTTTTCAACTTGAATGTTGATATGTGATAATGTCTTTGCTATATTTCATCCCTTTGACTCATTTATTCATCCAATTGACCTCTAACACTCTTGAATCTTCATCAGAAGGTTGAAAACAAGTTTATAGTATTTGCTCTTTAGTCCCTGAACTTTCATGTTCTTCCATTTTGGTCCTTTCTTGTCTTTTTCTTCTAATTCCCACCGTTTTCATCTATTTGCAACCTAAATCAAAATGTAAGTGTACTTAGAACATTTAGGCATCAATTAATCATAGAAATGAAAGTATTAATGAATGAAAAACGTAACAAATGTGCTATTATCACACACCAAATCACAAGAACATAAACAATTATTGTACGAGAAAAACTTCCTCGGTGTGAGGAATAAAAATCACGAGACCTAGTCCAGTCAAAAGCTCCATTATCAACCAACTAATGAACACACAAAGTTTTCTCTAGTAACAACTAGATGCTTCAATGTATATTTCATCAAGATAATGAAGATTTTGACTATACAATACGAAATAGAAAAATATACCCACACACCCGTGGTTACTATCCATGCACATGAACCAATGTTCCCAAGCTCAAAATCCGATCTCTACTGTACAGATTGTAGCTTACTGTCTTGTGAATCTCTCCTCCAAACTTCAGCTTGATCGGACCACAGACGACTCGGGATCAGAGTTTTGATGAAATCTAGACGCAAAGAAGCCTTTTTTTCCCTCTCTTTTCGGAAAAATGGCTAGGACTATCATTTATCTTATATTCTTCTATTTAAACTCATCTTCGAAATCCTAATGGGCTTTGGGATGCAATAAAAGATCCCAAGCGTAGGCTTTCCTAACCCTACATATGTTATTCCTTTCAAGTTGACACAATCTTCTTGTTCTGAGAGCTCTAGCTGTAGTTCCCCTTATTTCCTTTCATCCAATATTGTATATACTATATAGGCATTGAATAATCAAGATAAAACTGAACCAAACCCTCTAGAAACAAGATTTCAAAGGGCTAATAGTTTACACATTTTTCTTTCTCAATTGAAAGCTAGTATTTGGCACCATGTCTCTGTTAGGTTTTGAATCAGAACACACTTGAAGATGCTCCTTCGAATAAATTATGTTGTTCAATTGGGACGGACAAAAAAATCCAAAGAGAGAAACAAAGAATCAAGCATACAAAACCATAATTTGTTGAATAGTTTAACTTGCTGAACTTAATCCTTAAGAACAGTGTTTTCAATTGATTTCCAGAAAGAAGTATGCTATTCAAAAAGCAAAGTTTTCAAAAGTTTGAAGAAAAATAAATGAGCCCTGCTCGATTTCTAAATGGAAAAAAATGAATTTATTGCTATAATCTTTTTGTTTATGTGTGCTGAAGCTTAAGTTTCCTCCAATCAGCATGATGTGAATCCACTTCATCCAAGAATGGCAGCGGATCTTATTGTTCTGTTAGTTATGTTCTGCTTAATGTTTTTCATTGTGGCTTATGCGAAGTTCTGTCACAGACCAGTGTCTTATTATCAATCGAATGATTAACAAGGTCCTCGTGGGCTTCTTGCATCAAGATCCCGATTTTCTGGTATCGATCCATTAGTAATTGAGTCACTTCCATTTTCCAGGTTTTCCTCCCTCAAAGGCTCGAAAGAAGACCTAGAATGTGCAGTGTGCTTATCAAGATTTGAGGAGACTGAAGTTCTTCGATTGTTGCCAAAGTGCAAGCATGCATTTCACATGAACTGCATTGATAAGTGGCTCGAAATTAACTCAAGCTGCCCCATTTGCAGGTACAAGTTTGATGTGGGGGACTTGAGTAGTTTGACGTATACAAACAGCTTTAGTTCAAAGAGAGCAAGATCAAAATAGGTCATCGAGATTCAATATGATAAACATGTTGCAAACTATCGCAAGGAGGAAGGAAGACAAGGTTTTGCTTCCAAAAGATAGCAATAGTGATAGGGAAACCTTGCACAAATTTAAGCACAACATCATTGTTTCTGATGTAATTTGTAAAAGCATGGGGAGTGATGTCAACACTTCAAACCTAATGTTTCTGAATTCTGAGATGCTCAATGTTATGTCAAGCAAACGATTCAAGCCATTCGAGTCGAACAGTGGAAGATTCGCCAATGAACTTTCAGCCAAGAGACAATTTTTGAAGATTAAGGAAGATGTGGAAAGAAAAAGATTGTACCATTCTAAGGTTATTACAACTGCCACTTCAAGCTCTCCTTGTACTAATAACATAGATTTAGACAAAAAGACGACGACAAGATCATTGGATCCAGGTGAGAAGAGATCAATGTCTGAGATTACAAATGTTTCAAGGTTTACAGAATTCAGTACAAGAAGCATGATGAATGACTTATCATCACCAGTAAACATTGTAAAGGATGAAAAAGTTTGGAGGCTTTGGTTTCCCATTGCAAAGAGAACAATTCAATGGTTTGCTGGTAGAGAAAACAATTCAGAAATTTCAGAACATGACTCAAATGTATGAATTATACTGTATTTGGTACACAATATTAGATTGCATTTGATAGTAGACATGATTTTTGCTTATTTTCTTCTTCAAAATTCAGTATTGTCTACTTTACCATTACAAATATGTCGTCTATGTTTCTAGCTAATTACTCTTGCAATTATTTGTACTTTTGTGGCTTGTTTGAACTAAATAATATGATATTCACCGAGTATAATTGCGGTTTTATCCAAAAATGGTTAACCTATTGAAAGTAGTCAAATCTACTTATAATGTTTACATTTTTCTAAAATTCTCTCTTTGAATGAAACAATACATCATCTCGATCCCCCTTCAAGTGCTATTCTAGTTGTCTCCTTCCTCAAATCAGGGAGGATTAGATGTTCCCACAAGACCCAACTCTTCTACTCTTTTGCCTTTCAGAGCCAACAACAGATTTTTTCAGCCATAATGATTGACTAGGATCCAAACCTTCACTCGACTGCAATTGAGGTTTCATCTTAGGCATGTACATTGCTATGTTCGGAGCATAACCATTTATTGGAAATTTCGATTTCATCCAAAAATATTAACCTATTAAGGGTGTAACTAAATCCCTTATAAATTTAATATTTACTCCATGTATA